AAAAAAAACTAACGTTCTGTTTGAGTTCTTTGTTTTCATTCTCCCATTTTTGGAATGCCTGCTCATACATAAGCTTCATCTTTTGTGTCGCTTTCTAAAATGACTTTAACCATACTAAAAAGGAAAAGTACTGACAAAAATGTTACTGGAAGCGAACCAACCTTTTCGTATTCGATCTCGGTGATCAGGCTATTATGCTCGGCCTGTATCTTCAGTATTTCACTCTCTTTTTCGCGACACATATTGTCCAGTTCATTGAGACAAGTATTATTGTCTGGCTTCTTGGCTCTCATCAAATTTGCCCAGACCCTGCATTTGTCCGCAAGGATCTTCAGCTCAAGAAGCAGTTCGCTGCACTGCCTGCAATTCCAACTGCCCACGGGAAACGTATCAGCTCGATTTTTGATGTATGATGCCAGCTCATCAATGCCAAACACGGTGCTCTCCAGACGTTGCCTTTGTTCCTCACGTAAACCGTCTGGCGTTTTTTCTCGCATCGGTCGCACTAGTTCTTCATCAGCGAAGGCTAGCGATTCAAACACACGTTCAGCTTCCTCAGTGTTTTCAAGAGAAGGTGCTTTTTCACGATTAGCAACAACGGATGCTGAAACCAGCGAAGGCGTCGTACCCTCAATTAGATTTGATGAGCCCACCCCCGTGTTCCCGGTATTTTGAACCTCATCGTGCACTGCTGCTGCTGCTGCCACTGCTGGTACGCCAGTATCGCGACCACTGCTCTACAAAATGAACGGTCTGTCGGGCTGTACATACTTCATTTAACAGAGTTCGAATCATTACTGAAGCAGACTGAACTGTCCTGAATCACTTAGTAAATCTCGCTGCGACTTGAGTTATAACCCAGATCAAATTCAGAAAACTTAGATTTTGAGCTGCAGCTTTTAGTACCGATAATGCAAGAAGAAAGCAACATGCAAATTCCGAATTTCTTTGCTTCGCAGTCTGCAATCCTACTTTGAGCAACAGACGTGAAATTTTGCAAGAACAAGAGCAACGAGCGGCTGGAGATCACAATAAAACAGTACAAGTGCTGAGATCTAGGCACTGGTAGATCTGTTCGTCTTGAAAAAAGTGCTCAAGGACTCATTTTCTGAGCAAGTCTCACATTTCATCTAGTAACAGCAATGTCGTAAAACGCGGGGATGGCTTATTGAGGGCAGGAGCGCAAAAATATGGGACTTCGATTACTGCGTTATTTGACATACTTTATCCTGATGGGGGCTCGGTTATCCAAACTCTACAGCCAGTCGTGGGGCTCGGTCATCCAAACTCTATAGCTCCCTGCAGCGTTTGTTTGCTTGTGCTTACTGCTTTTTATGCGTTTTTGCCGTGCAGCGCTAGAGCGCTGCAACAGGCAGCAAAAACGCATA